CAATTATAAAGAGTTTTTGAAATCAATGAAACTCATTTACCCATCAAAAGTTATCATCACTAAAAGACCTGGTAATATCCCTGCTAAAAAACACAATAATGTTGTTTACGCAAGGGAAGATTTTGTTAATGATTTAGTATTTCCTTTAATAGTTCAAAGTAAAACTCAGGAAATATTTGCCAGAGATGAGGTTAAGAAGTTTGTTTACTATCAAGGTGGTCGTGTTCCTTTTAATCAAAAAGAAATTTCTGCTTTAGAAAATGTTCTTAAACAGGTTATGTGTGATGATTATTCAATAAGATCAATGCCATCTAGTCATTAAATTAGTTAAAATTTTTTCTTATTTTTGTTAATTTCATTATTAAATTTTTAATTAAAAATAAATTACAAATACTTGAACTTCTGATCTCTATTTAAAATATTTTAATCAGTATCATGCATAATTTACAAATTTATCATGAAATATTTCCCTAAAATTTTGTTGCAATGGGATTTGATTATACAGCCAAGAATAGGAATCATAATGAACAAAATGAAAATGACATACAAGGATTGGATATGTCTTTTCAAGGAATTAAGAATATATCTGATGTGGTATTCAAATATTTAAGATTGAAAGAACTATTACTTAACAATAATGATCTCGAAATAATTCCATTGGGTATATCAAAGCTTCCATATATCGAGAAGATAGATCTTAGTCATAATAGAATTAAAACAATACCTCCTGAACTTGGAAGAGCAGTTAATTTACGAGAATTGCTATTAAATGATAATTTAATTAGCACGGTGCCTATGGAAATTGGATCATTGTATAATCTAGTCTGTCTTAATCTTACTAACAACCCATTGATGTCACCTTTTCATAGTTTGTATAAGGATGGTGCACTTTTAAGGTTTTGTAGAGACAATAATAATAATTACAAGCCTCCCAATACAAGAATGTGGGTTGAAACCAGTAATATCGTTAACAGAAATGATTTTGAATCCATTAGTGTAGGAACTTACAATATATTATCTAATTTTAATGCATCAAAAATACTTTACACACCCCTGTGGACTATTGCACCTGAAAGTCGAAAGGACATAATTTTGAAAAATATAATCTCCTATGATTTAGATATTTTGTGTTTACAAGAGGTTGAGACATACTTGTATTATGAA